AACCCACCTTTGTATGGAATTGCAGGACAGCTGTCCCTTCAGGCTATGCCCAAGGTTACTTCTCTATGCAGCTCTCCTATGATTAATTTAATAATATATTATATGCCATGCTTCTTGAATGTTCTATTGTGCTCTCTCTCTCTCTTTTTTTTTTTCTATCAAAGAGCTATTCAAAGTAAACAGTGACCTCATCAATACTGTCTGAAACTTACAGTAAATGGAAATATTCCAAAACCATAACAGAAACCATATTTCAACAGACGTAAACTAAAAGATGAGGAGTGAAAATTAATTTGGATGAGAATGCTATCCCCAAAGACTCATATAGATATTTGACTCTGATTTGCTCATCCTCATCTTTTTGCTAAGTACAGGATGCTTCTTTCATGTGGGACTCCAGATGAAAAAGGAGTAAGAAAATCTCCAGTGCAATTTTAGCTACAATATTCATGGTGTGGTGAGGAAGACAAAAATAATTTAACCCACAGAAGATAAAAAGCAAAGCAGAAACAAGGAAGCCTGTGTAAGAGAGGAGCAAAAGTGTTGTCATGATTGAGATTTCCAAAGCTGCACAGGTGTTTAAACAAAATATATTTTTTTTAATTGTTCATTAACCTATTCCTCCATGATCTCTAAAATGCTAACCTTTCAAAAAACATACATGGATTACTAGAGCAAGAACAGAGCTTCTATTCAGGCATTTTAGTTTGATCACAGCCAAAAAGCCAAATAAAATACAAGATCCTATCAGAACATCTTTGCATGTCAGATAGCATTAAGCTGCATGTGCTTAATTTCCATATAACTCACAGAAACATTTCTTTTTGCCGTGCTGATATACCTAGATTCTCTTAGTCTCTGCACCTCTTAGCGGTCTTAGTCTCTGCACTTCTTAGCGGATGGTCCAGTTTTTCTTTTCCAGATAGAGAAACACTGACTTCATTTTAAAGAAAAACACCAGAGGGTATTACTCTCTGATAGAGAATTTGCAAATTCAGTAGGTCTTTAAAAAAGAGCACTTGCTTAAATAGTAAGCTAGTAAGCCTTTAGTGATTTCAATTCTTACTCAATGCCTTTAATTTTATTTTATTTTATTTACCAGTAGTTTAGCATCTCATATAAGACATTCTAAGGCTAGCTGCATTTTCACTTGTGATATTAATCAGTTCACATAAATGATCACTTTAACGTGATTTCTGTGACATTAGTTGAAATCTCTTATTGGTGCAATTTTCTGTCAGGGAACCCTTTGCTTGCACCCATTAGAAAAAAAAATCTCAGTATAAAAGTCTTATAAAATACCCTAATGAAGTAGTGCATTTACAGTGGAGCCCTAATTTCCAGCATTTCGGCTAACACCCTGATTTTCCTTATCTGATCATGAAGTCCAAAAGCATAAATAATTAAGCTGGGAAATATATATATATATTTAATATGTAATGTCTAATATACAGTCAAAAGTGCATTAATGACATCTACATTTATTATTGTATTCATATTTCAACTGTATATTTTATATCTAGGAGCTGCAGCCATTCTAGCCAGGATGATTTATCCCTCAGAGGGAGTGTGAAGGATGTCTCTTAAGTATGCAACAGGCTTGTCATATTTCTGGAGAATGTGTGCCACCTTATGAAAATTCTGGTCATTTATAACATTGAAAGAATAGTATTTCATAGAATCATAGAATCCTTTGGGTTAGAAGGGACCTTGAAGATCATCTATTTCCAACCCCCCTGCCATGGGCAGTGATGCCACCCATTAGATCAGGTTGCCCAGGACCTCATCCAACTTGACCTTCAACACTTGCAGGTATGGGGCATCCACAGCTTCTCTGGACAATGTGTTCCAGTGCCTCACAACCCTCTGAGTGAAGAATTTCCTCCTAACTTCTAATATAAATCTCCCCTCTTTTAGTTTAAAACCATTCCTTCTTGTCCTGTCATTATCTGACTGAGCAAAGAATTGCTCTCCATCTTTTTTATAAGCCCCCTTTAAATACTGAAAAGTTGCAATAAGGTCGCCCTGGAGACTTCAATTTTCTTGTGTTTGATTTGTTTTTAAATAGCCATTGAAAACTGAAGAATCCTCTTTTAAGAATAAGTATACTTTATTGTCAACTTTACCCAAGGAAAGATTTTATTTATAAATGGCAACAAATGTGGACATAAGCAAAATCACAAGAATCTGCACATCTGACGACTATAGCAAAGTCATTGTGCATTCACTTGCTTGATGAAGGACCATGAGGTACAGTTATCTATACTTGCTTTCCATGGTCTGCTTGTTGTAGTTTATACTACATTTACAAGACATAACATTTTGCAGACCTTGCAGCCCCCAAAAAGATGCTAGTGGTCCCAATGATCCTTTTATTTTACAAGAAGATAAGAAACAGGAGTTGAGACAGAGAGAGATGATTGTTCAAAACAGCAAAGCTAGACAGGTTGATAAACAATTGGATCTGCACAGTTGGCAGCCATCCTGGCAAAGAAGCCTAACAGTGCTTACGTATAACTGTATGTTATGTATGTGTGTCTGTTTGTTGGCATTATTCACCAGAATCAATCGTGTATATTCTTCTAAACATTGTTTTTTCCTGTTAGCCTGAAAAATACTGATATTCTAAGTACCAAGATTTTGATTTAACTAAAGTGCAGTTCTTTCATATCTGTGTAAGTTCCCCTAACTGTCCTCAAATGATTTTTATTTTCTGGAGGATGGGAAGAATTACATTACTTTATATGGGCCTCAGAGCATGAAGCAAAAAAGCTCTTTTTTTGGAACAAATCCAAAATGTTTTAAATATGTGATACTTTATGTCCCTATTCCATCTTTTTCTATATTTTTCTCTCCCACCTGCTACATATTCAAGTGCTCTTCTTATATGTATAGGGGGTCTAGAGGGGAGGATATGCCACACCAGTATTCATCTTGACAAGTTGCAGTAAATAAACATTTCTTACTGTTCAATTTTAAAGTCTGTGTTGGTTCATCCTGTGGGGTGGCTTTTTCTTCCCACTCTATATTGCTAAGAAAATATATAGAAAATTTCCTTTTATTCAATTCTCTCATCATTGCTTTCTTTCAGCAGAATGACTCACTGTTGCTCTGGATTCCCTGTGCATGTTATCACAACTTTGTGAACAAACTGACTCTAACGTTAGCCTGACATCATCTTTATTTCATTTTTATTGTCACTGACACTAAACCGGATAGGCCAAAGGAGATGATCTGTGTCTCATCATTTTAGCAGCACTTAGACGATATACTTAGCACACTTTCTACCATATTTCTCCTTTGACACCATTCCTCCGCTGGGAAAACAATACAGTAACTCAGCACTCTGTAGGTATAGGCTTTTTTAGCTAGCTTCTGTTAGGATTTATATCTATCATATTTCGGCTCAGATGATCTCAGGGCACAGAGGAAATATATTTGCACTTCTTCTATTGCCTTGAGTGGAAGAAAATATCTTGTCTAAGTAACGTGATTCACTGTGAAACATCACTGGTCTAATTAGTAGGACTGCTTTTACTCACTTCTGTCATCCCTGAGCTCCTTCATCTCTGCTGTCTGGAGTTCCATGAGGTCTCTATGAGTAGGAACCCGCAGTTATTCCATTGGTGTAAGGACACACCAATGCTTGGTGTTTCAGCTTGGCTTTCAGCTTCATCAGGTCTTTACTGGGGTACAAAATGCATTTCACAAAACCTCTTCAGTGGTTTTAATGGGATTTAACTGTAAACTTCTATAGTGTAGAGTGTTTGTCTGTAAAGATCATTTCTTAGAGACATCCTCTAGTCCTGTGGTGACTTTTGAGGTTTCAGATCACTTCGAGCAGCTGACAGGAAAAGTTAATGAAAAACAGCAAGGTGAACGCATAAAGGACCTAGAATCTCATAATGAATCTAAAGAATGCCTGGCTATGAAAGCTGCAGCAAGCAGTAGGCATTGTACTGCAGCAAAACTTCCAGGCTGGGGGAACTGCAGAGAGTGGGATTTCCTTTCCCTCCACCAATGCACACACTCACACCATTGTCACCTCCTCCACCTGCACAGAGACAGCAGTGCTTTACATCTACATGATGTAGAAGAGAAGCTGAATTATTGCTATCCATGTTCTCATTATCCCTCTCATGCATGTAATAAGTGTTTGCTTATGCCCTGAGCGTCTAAACAAATAAAACTTTGGTTTGGGTAAAGCTTCAGTAGTGCAGTCCTATCAAACTTAGGTCCTTGAAAGCCCCAGTTTGTTCTAGCTGTCTTCTGATGTTACTCTGGCAAACAGCTCTGGTTATTCTGTTCTCAGCCTGTGTTTTTTTTTTTTTTTTTTTTTTTTTTTTTTTTTTTTTTTTCAGGTAGAGTGCTGTTGTTGTTTGTCCTGAATACTGCATTTAGAAAAAGACAAGTGTGTCCTCGAGGTCAGATATGTGCAGAAGTGTGAGGAACTCTGAGCCCTGATCATGGCCAGCCAAGTTCCTATCAAGCAATTACAAGTCTATAGGACACTATTTTTGTTAATCCATCCCCGTGTCTCGCAACTTTCTGACCATGTCCCACACCGAGAAGTCATGGTGACCATATATATAACCCTCACCAAGGGCTGGTTCCGTAACTAACCAAGGTAGACAGCAAATCAGTGCAGTGTGTGGTTCAGGAGAGCAGGTCCTGCACCATCCTGCACTGAGAAAGACTGTGCCTTTGATGTAGTGTCTTCTTGTGCTCCCTGAGATGTGAATGACTGTTTTGCTCCCAATGTACATCTTATATAATCTATATATTACAAAATATTACAAACACTTTGTATTAGCTTGTTAAGGGCTACACACACACAAAAAAAAAAAAAAAAAAAAAAGCTTATTATTATTATTATTATTAAAATATGTGACTATTGAGAAAAACAAACAAACAAAAAAAAAACACAAAAAGAAAGGTTCCCAAAAAATAAAAAATAAAAACAGTGTTCCTGAAGAAGATAAAATATTTCAAGAGAAGCAGACACTTTCTCTGCCACATTTATTTGATTGAAAATCTAATCTTCTATTTTTAAAAGTTTCATCTTACTATTTTTCACTTTTTAACAGAAAACAAAAAAAAAAAACAAAAAACAAACAAAGGATTCCATTAAGCAGTCTGTGAGGAATTTTCTGTGTATCCCATAGATCTGTGCATTCCATGCTCTATTGTTCTCTCTTGACAATGTATCAGCAGCAACAAAACAAAAGGTTAAAAGGAACATGGAAGGAACTGCGCGGTGCTGAAGGCCAAATCTAGCCTTTTGTACTTTGTGAGGAGAAAACACGTTCGAGTGTTCATAACCATCACTCCTTAAAAATCAATTAAGATGAAGTGACATTAGAAGTTTGTGAAAATATGAGAACCAGTTTCACAGAAGTTGTTTTTAATTCTCTTTTTTTTTTTTTTTGACATGCTGAAACAGTATTTGTTGCTATCAGTAGAGAGGAACTTCTGTCCTGTGTTGCAGAAACCACTCAGCAATACCACATTTCAGCTGCTGGCTGTCTGCTCTGTCCCAGGCCATCCTCATTACTGCTCCTGCTATAGACTGGTACAGTTTCTGATGCTGCTTCTCGTTAGAATCTTGTGCCAGTGTGAAAGATGTCACAAGCAGTTTTAACCTTCAGTTGAGGTATGGGAAGGGAATCTAAAGCAAGAGGAATTTCACCTGGTATTTTATATGCGTTGAGGTTGGGGTGGAGAGATATCAGGCAATCTCCTAATATTCTCCCTCACCACCACCCCTTTTTAATACCCAAATGACAAGCACTATTACTGTTACCCTGGAGCATGCTAGACAACACATTAATCTTCTTTACAGTAAAACACAAGCCAGCCTTGAATTACTAACAGAACAGGCTAGAAAATTTCTGATAAAACATTTTCTAGTAGGAATTTGCTAGTTCGGACAAATTGGTATGTTTTGCTGTGACACTGGGATTTTCCTCTGGTTCTTCTAGATGCCCAGCAGGCTGGGAGCTGCTCAGCAGCTGGGACTCCAGCAGTTAAGGGTGCTGCTGCTTTGGAGCAGGTCAGTCAGAAAAAGTCTTCCAGGGTGATCCCTCCTAGCCTGGCTCAGGAGATCTCAGTGCTCACAGGACCAATGCTCTGGGGAAGCCTAGGAGATGACCTGCTCCCACGCTGAAGCTTTATTGCCTTTCACAGACAATTATGAAATGTTTGGCCTTTCTTCCAATCTGGAATAAACCCAGATTTCGAAATATCAAGATCCTGTGTGAAAGTCAATTAGTTCTCTCTGCAAAGCTGAAACTATGACCACATACTTCCCACGTGTAGCACCTGCATGGAGATGTCAGTGCTGAAATTCTGGCAATGCTGATGGGGTTGTGTTCAGCACTCTGGTAGATCAATGGCTGGAACATAGTGTTCTTCTTTACCTATTAGAAGTGCAGATCTTCTGGAACTGCAAAGCTGAACTAGATGCTAGAAAGAACAAACAGGGAAGACATTAGATATTAGGTGACATTAGATATAACTTGGGATTTTCTTTCATTTAAGGTTTTAAGATGTGCTTATGTTGCAAACTAATGCACATTGATTTCCCAATACCTTCAGAAGATAATGATCATGTGTGAAATACATAGAGAGAAGGCTTTGTGTTTTTTTTTTTTTTTTTTGACATGTTCAGTAGCTGAACTTCTTACAAGAGACTCTTCTGTTCTTATAAGTGACTTGTTCTAAATATCCTGTCAACAAGGTAATTAATTTTCACCAATGCTTTTTAAAAATATATATTTTCATGGTAAAGTTTCATTTATCCCTTCAGTGGGCAGTGTAAAATGAATTTCTAGTGCATAATTTAATTGACATGTTTCTCAATGTTCAGGTCAATTTATACTCAAACTGCTGTTCCCATGGTACTGAACAAAGCTACATCTTTTATACACTCTTTATGCTGCAGATGGTTATGTTATTACATACAAAGCTCACAATAATCTTCTAACAAACACATTCCCCACTAATCTTTTTCTAAGCTGCATGTTGAACATAGGCAGGGGAGGCAAGAAAAGAAATTTTGTGATTTTCTTCAATGAAATAATGAACATTACACTTCTGTAAGCTTATATGTGCAAATATATCTTAGAGGAAGCAATCTGCAAATAAACAGTACTGCAGTTCTAAGAAAGAAGCCCCATCTCATACCTTTTTTGCTACTGTCAATCTGAAGTTGAGATAAAACATGCTACAGATACAGCAGTGATAGCCTTGGTTGGTGGTCACTGTGTGATGATGGAGGCGTCTGCACCAGGGCTGGTTATGAATAAGCTGTCCCCAAGAGACAACTGCAAGTTGGTACAACTGCAAGTGCTCTAAAATGATACATGAAGTCTTTCAGCACTCTAAAGGATCATAACTTTATAGAATAATTTTATTTAAAATCATTCTATCAAACGTAGGAGAAAAGTCTTACAATTTAATTTACCAGAATTGAATTTTGTAGAACAGGTCAATGACACCTGTAGGAAGAAGCTCTAAATCCTAAATACTTCAGTTTGTAAATGAGTGCTTTTGTTCTTGAATTTATCTGGTATGTTTGAAGAGTACCACACCTTAGAGTCTTTCCTGTTTCACGAACATCATTTTTGTTACGTAGTGTAGTACCTCTGTATTTCTGTGAAGCCTCTGGCAAAAGCCCCGTCATGCATTTATCTTTGCATGTGAAAGGACATGTGAGATTATTACCTACTATGAGAATATGGTAAATCAAGTGAGTGAATTTTCTTGATAATTCAACAAAGCTGACATATGGTTATGCTGATATATATATGTATTTTACATAGCATTTGCTGAGTGGGGATGTATTTCGTTATATGTAACTAATTTGCTGTATGTATCTAAACCACAATATGCTGTAACAACAGCTTTTGTCCACTCCATTGCAGCTCAGCTGGGGGTATTCAGAAACTTCTGGTTCCCAGAATCGTTTCCTTCCGTGTCGATGTTAATAATTTCTGTTCAGGACCTCCCAGTTGCTTCTTTTCTATTTTAAATAAAATGTGTATGACACAATTAAAAATATGAGTTGTTGGAAGACTGTAGGCAAGTATATTCTGTGCTTCTTCAAGAGGATTTTGCAATATAGATTCAGTTCTCCTTCTGAAGGAAACTTTTGGCTGGAGTGCATGCTCTTTTACTAGATTTCAAAATAGCAAACCGGAACAAAAGGACAGAAGTTGATTTTAGATACCCAAGAAGTAGATTTATACCCTTGTTAGAGTGAATAACCTCACTAATCTATCAGTGCCTCCTTGTATTGAGACTGGAGAGCAGAATTTGGAGTCCATGCAGCATAGCAGCACTCTGAAACATATGGAAAACTCTCATTGCAGAGAGGAAGCTGGAATACTTTGTTGTACTGTGGAGGAATATGAAATGAGTTTGTTATGGAAAGATCAGAATCCTTAACCTACTGGACTTTGACATGCTGTTTGAAACATAGACTCGCAGTGCTGCCCTTTGGAAAAACAGAACCTTAGCGTAAGTGTACTGAACATGCACAAAATTTGTTTTTCTAGGGTGAATAAACAGCAACATTGTTACAAAGCTATTTTCATATTTCCTTGGTGCATGACTAAGTTTTAATGACTTTTTTTTTAATCACTGAATGAGGCTTTCATATTTCTCAAGCTATTCAAGTCCCTCCCACTCTCACAGTCCTCAGAGCTTTGCAGCCAGCCTTACTCAGAGGACATTCCAGACTTGTCACTGCACAGCTGCTCTTGGCAGCCAGCCCTCTGTGCAAGGACTTTGCCAAAGCATTGCTTGGACCCCCCAAACACTATCCTGAAACAATGGCTGATACTATGACATTTGCACAAACACTACATATCTTCTTGCCTTAGAATGAATTTGTTTATTTCTATTATAAAATGTGTTGTATCTTTGATGTCACTGGATTTACTCTCAAAGCCTACTGTGGAAACTACCTCGATGACTTATGTTCCACATACAGGCTGGTGGGCAGGATAAGCTTAAAAAATGGAGCTGGTGATAATATTCACTACATTCTATTTGGTGTATGCTTGCTCTTTGCTCATGGAGTTATACTTTCTAAATTTTTGAAGTGCTTGCTTTAAAGATCAGCCAAGTAAAGAAATAAAAGGTTAAAAACCTACTTGGAAGAGGTTTCTTTCCTTTTCCTTACGCGCTGAATTTCACACTGGTCATTTTTCATGCCTGGTCCTCAAGTATTTGATTACACACAGTGAAAGGCAAGAAGGTGTGCATTTCTGTTATATCATGTGTGAATGCCAGAAAGAGTTTGATAAGAGTTTGATGCAGTTTATAGTAAATCATTTAAAAAAAAAAAAAAAAAGCAGATAGGAAATTATCTCTGAAAAAGCTATGTTAGACCTCAGAGGTCTTGAGTGTTTCACACAACTATTATTTATAATTTTTATCATCCTCAAAGCATTTTGAACCAAAATACTAGAAATTCTCCCTCCACAAAGGAAAAATGGACTTTAGAAATAGTGGCAATTAAACATTACAAAAATGCTTAGAGACTTTTCAACATAGTGTATTAGTGTATTAAAAATATACATCAGGTTCTGCATTTTTTAATCCAAGATAAACTAATCTTCCAATTTAAAATCATGATTTTGGTTTAAACTGAATGTGGTGCCGGTGAAACATGCCCCCTCAAAAAATCAGAAATCCTTTTTGCATATAGCAGGAAAAGCATATGGCAATAGCAATGAAAACGTGCCTCCTACCAGTGTTGGTTTAAGGGAACATGTCTGGCCTCAACTGAGCAAAGTGCCTCAATGTGCTTTCTAAAGGAGGGTATGCTTAAGACCCAAACAAAACTATTTGCTGGGAGGGAATCAGTGCCCACTGGCACCTTATTTCAGCTGTGTATTTCTCCAGCATGGGTTTCATCTTTGTTATGTGTTTTGGAACAGAAATGTGTTTTTTTCTAAGGCCAAACTCAATTTTTTTTTTTTTTTCAGGAAGAGAGCTTTTTTTTTTTTTTTTTTTTTTTGGTATTTTAAAAATTCTAGTTGGGAATTCCAAACATTAAAAACACTAGCAATTCTAGTATCATATTTTAGCCATTTTTTCAACAGTGTTCCTTCTCAGTTCTTGGTTTGAACCTAACTAAAGAAGTGGTGATGGCAGTTTTTTCATTAATATTGCTGTGGGCAAGTAGAGGAAAAAAAGTACTAAGACTTGGGAAAATAATCAGGCCTCTCAAGAAACAAGCCAGTATTTTGCAATTGTTGCTTTCTTCTAAAAGTGTTTTTTTTTTTTCTTTTTTTTTTTTTTTTTGTGTGTGTGTCTGTGTGTGCGTGTTTGCAAGTGTTTTTTTTGTTTGTTGGTTGTTGTTGTTGTTGTTGTTTTAATGTGTAGGCTGCTCATTTGGAAACATTAAACATAATTACAATTTACCTGACTGTAAGGATGTTTTTATCAATATTGATTGAAGCAGTTATTCTTAGGCATGTCTTAGAAAATATTGGTTGCTCTGCAAGTTGCTTTAATTAGGTAAGTTTTTAAATGGCAATTACTGGAAATTATATGAACCTATGAAGCTGGAAACCAAAGTTTGGGCTCACGCTACTGTTAACAGGTTACAGTTACATTAGACCTTTTTCTCAGTTATCGTGATACTTCTTTTGTTTCATCTTTGTACCTTTCTATCCTGCATACAGTAATTTTAATTTCATAAACTATAGAATGCACTTCTAAATCTGATAAATTCTTAAAACATATATTTAATATTTCATATTTTTAAATTATTTTTAGACATGAACTTCAAAAGTAGTACTTTCCAATAATACTCTGCATGCATGCATGATTTGATCAGCTTTTGAGCTTGGTGTAGTAGTAAGATAGAAATGTGGCATGAAGTTGTTCATTTTATTTCCTTTGCTCAACTTACAAGTGCTGTAAGTTTATTCTCTATCTCCTAACTGCCAGCTCTAGTGCCTCCAAATGGAAAATCCATGATATGAAAAAATTAAAAGACAAACAATTATGAGACAGATTTCTCCAAAACAAAGTTTAGTTCACTTAGAACAGGGTGACTCAACCTTCCCCGTTAGAAAGCTAGTTACCCTTTCACTGGGGAATAAGAAAACACTGAATCTACTTTTATGCCAACTCCTGTAATGTAGAATTTTTCTTTTCTTACGGTTTTGTTTGTCGTACACAACTTCTCAACTTGTGATTAAACATGCAAACATTACCTATTTATTGACTCAGCTAGAATGGAATCTGTTGGCCTACTAGTTAAGTGACATTTTACAGCTGTGCTGATGTCTTTGTTGTTCTGACTTGAAGTCCAAAGTGCAACAGATTCATCTGATGCTAGTACTAGGATTCATCTGATTTATTTATTTTTTTATTATATCATTTATGTCTACAAAGACATTGAATGAAATGGTACTCTAAATCTCTGCAGACTGGAGAGTTCTGTGAAGATTTTTCATTCTTTATGGAAACTAACATAGGCCAAATAAGATCATTATCTTCATATTCCAAATGAATAAAATCTTAAGAGATTCCTTTACACTCTTTCAAGAATGTTCAATTGGTTTCTTTTACATGTTAAAAAGCCATAAAATCCCGCACCTCATTGGCACATGGGTTCTTACAAATGTTGTTAGAGAAAAAACTGAAGATGTTTTACCATGTTTTGGCTAGGCTGAGTTCATAGGGACTGTTGATGGAAACCTGTATGTTTAGCAGAACTATTAGTTATTTTGCTATCAGTAAAATACAGCTGAAGTTACAAAACAACTGTTCAACTGCTAACAGGCAGCACCAGTAGTTCAGCCGCTGATAGACAAGAAGTGATGAGAGGCATTAGTGATTTAATATTGTCAGTGATTTTGTTTTTTATGGCAACAACAAACAATTTCTTACTAAAATCCACAGGGGCCTCATGACTAACAGAAAGTAACCAGCCCTCAACTTTCCCATACAAGGTCTACTAGTTAAAAATAAATAAATGTGAGATGAACAACTGACGCCTGCATTGAAATGTCTGATCAAGTGGTCTGGAATAAAGGTCAAGGAAATAAAAGATGAAAAAAAAAAGTTGCATTAATTAATCACAGGATGACTAAATCTCCAGGAAAAAAAGTCCAGTGTCTAGGTAATCTTAGAATGTACCAGAAGAGGCATTTTCAATAGAATGTATTAATGCTTTTGTACACAGCTCTGGGAGACCTAATCCAAAATGAAAAATGTGTACAGTTCTCATCCCCCTTCTTTAAGGAAAATAAGGGGACTGGAATAAATGCTTTACCAAATCTAGTGAAGCAAATATAAAGATGTAAAATTGTTTTCTTGAAGTATAGCCAGAATAAGCATCAGTGAGGAACAAAGAGACATACAATATGAAGAATAAAGCATGAATTTAGACTGGAGATAAAAAGTTTCTGACTCTCAAAAGAGTGAGTTTCTGAAACAATCGATGGGAACAAAAAGAATGAATTTGATTCAGTTGCCTACACCTCAGTTATACAGATTTACTGAATTTGGTATTTGTGTAATCTAAATTGAAAGCAAGGAAGAGGTTAAAGATGAAAATTAAAGAAGGAATGTGCCTCAGTATTTTTCTGAACAGGCATGCTTTATTTTGTAGGAATACATTGAAAAGTTGTATGTATGTATGCAGAGTTAGACACTAAGCCAGTAGCCATTCAATTTCTGGAAATCCGAGCAATGATATAATTCAGATAATTATTATCAGTAGGCAATGTTTATTAATCTACATTCACGGAGCACCTTTTTTCTCAAAGAGTATATAAAGCCTCTTTTGACTTCACCAAACTAATAGCCTGTGTGGACACTTTACTGTCCAAACTGAGTTTAAGAGAAGTTCTGGCCAAGATACCAGCTTCTGTCCCCCTGTACAGACAACAAACACTCTGAGTCTGTGCAATCTATAAACTTTAGAAATCAGTTTATCTACTCTTGGTGCCTTTATTTGACTCACTGTAACCTTGTCATATTGTTTTTGAGATGAAATATGCAGAATTAATCACAATATTTAAGGGGAAGCTGTTTGACAATAAAGATGTATATTTTTCCACATTTATACCTCTGTCATTCCTTATAAAGTCTGAGATCTTGTTTGCCTTATTTATTTATTTATTTATTTATTGTCAGCAGCTGAACGTGAGCAGGGGTTTTCACTAACCTTGAAGCCGAACCTTGCAATGTGAATATAAGACTTGCAAACATTTTTCCCTTTCTGTTTCACTCTGCATTTGGAAATGATACAAAAGCAATTGTTGCTTGTCTTGGTATTCAGATAACCCACAAAACTAGGAGGATTTCAGCATGGGCCAAAGTTACATTTCTCTTTAAAACACTCAATACATAGTTTCTTAATGAGTGTTTCTTGTGTGCTCTCTGTATTGGCAATGCTGTTGCTCTACAATACCCCTCTGCTGTGCAAAAAAGGGATTTCCAAATCCTACTGTGATGCTCCTACTGTGGGAGCAGAGGTATGGCTGGCTCTTGGGGCCTTTCTGGTCAGAGCTTGAGGGCAAAGGGATTGGAAACCTAAAGGACCTTTGTCATTAAAGATCTAAAGATAATGTAGAAAATGGACACAGGGCTTTTCAAACTACATATGGTTCCAGGGCTTTTCAAACTGCATATGATTCATTGAATATGTGAAGCAAGGTAAGGTGATTGTGTCTGGAGTATAACCTTTTAAATTATATCTGGCTTACAGGCAAATTCAAGGCATTTGAAAAAAACTTAAATGGCAGCTTATCATTTCTTTGTAATGAAATATGGTGTATGCTATTTATTTATTTATGCAAATGTTTATCTATGTTGCCATATTCCCTGGAAGCAACTGGTCAGATGCTATCCAGTATATAGAACTAGAAAATGACAACCCAAACACCTTAGAAGATAAGGAGTGGGAGAAGAGGGGCTCTTGAAAGAGAGATTGCTGGGGAACTGAAAGGGATCAATCAGCCAGTATCAGGACAATGTCTGTTGACACCATATACAAGTACCTAAACAAGCAAGGTCTGAAGTATGGAAGAGAACATGAGGGAGAAGCACATCTAAACTAGACAGGGTAGCTGCAAAAGTAATGTCATAAACAAAGAAATATAGAAATGGTTCTCATCTCTCTGACAGCCAGGAACTAAAGAGAACTGGCTATGAAGATAATCCTGTTAACTAAAACTTAATTAGTCATGGAGCAAGCAGCTAAGGATACATTCTCCATAGAGAATGGATGAGGAGATAATTGGATAGGTGTAAAGAGAATAAAAGTGAGAACTGGTAGAGAATGGAAGGTTAGAGTGAAAAGCATGAGTACAAACAAGGTGAGAAGATAATAAAGAAGGATGTGGATATAGGATCTGAATTTTTGCTGCTGGGAGATGGTGATTAAGATAAAGACCAGGAAATGATCTATCTTAAGGGACACATAGAGAAAAGAGAGGGGGAAATGGAGAAAACAGGATCATTATGGGGAGGGAAGACAGAGGAGGTCTGTAAAAGTGTCCAAGTATCACTGGTTTTGTCAGAAGAATACAAGTACACCATGGAAGTTCTTAAAACTGGGCAGTGCAGTAAAGGTGCTACTGTGCAGACCTGTTCAGGTAGCTGTTTTGTCAAGCATAATTTTCTTGTTCATTACTGAATCATATTTTTCCAAGTTAAAGAAAAAAGAACCTGGGATGTTTTCTTGAGAATCTAGCTGATGACAACATATTTACTGAACTTCTCACAAAAGTCATTGCATAAATATTTGACTCTGATTGTGATTTCAGCAAGTTTATTTCCAAGAGCTAGATTTATAGATAAAATTCCATGTACCCAGTCTCCAAGCAAAACAACAAAGACTGAGAATATGAGAGAGACAAAGTTACTGGGTTTTGTTGTAACATATTATTTTCAGCTACTCGTTTTTGTGTTTGGATATAAATCACAGAAACTAAATGAAGCTAGCTGGAGAACATCCCTTCAGTTGTAATAATTTGCATTTCAATGTTAAATCCTTTTGCCCCCTCCTCTCTGGGCACTCAATAAAGTCCTTGCTGCAGTTTTAGCCAAAAAGTCCTGCAAAGCAAGGCAAAATCTGAACACTGCTGAATTAAAAGATTGAAGTAATATGTGACTGTTCAGGGTAACATAAATGTAGAGTTCCAGCTATAATCTGATTTAAGAGATTGCATAATGCAGAGACTGTGTTTATACTGGTTGAGTAAAATCCTGATTTACAATGGAGACCTGAATCAATTGAAAGTTCTCTATCTTTTTCCACAGTCATATTTTTAGAGAATAAATTGTTGGACATAAGGAAGTATGCAAGGAAATGAACAGATTCCACCTTCCATCACTTCAGTGAGCTGAGCCACTCTCTCCTTCAGAACAGAGCTGAGAGTTTACTTACTACTGAGCCTGATGAAAATAAATGGAAAATCTATTAAGTCTCTTGCTCTCTACTTTTTTTTTTTTTTTAATCAAAATCTCATTACTTTAAAGTACCGTTGCTGAAAGTTTGAAATCACATGCCTAAAATATGCATCCTTGTTACTTGAAATCAATAATAACTCTAGCAATAGCTGAAAGAAAATTTCAGGAGTGTGAATTGGTGCAGCTAAGATTATAAATTGGCACTGTACATGTCTTCTTCAGCACACGAAAGCCAATGGAAGTTTTGTCAGGCTAAGGACTTAGTGCCCAGCATGTCAGGGCCTCATCCTGTCTTTACTTGTTTTCACATTCTTTTCATGATTTGCCATAGAACATGTGTGAAGACCTTATTCTTCCTGAGGACTAAAGAAACCTTTCAAGCACTGTTAGCAGGCCGTGCATTTTCCTACTTCTTCATGGCATCTAATTTAAATATCCAAAAAATGTACGTGGTAGTTTGCATGAAGTCAAATCTGATGAGCTTTGGGTTTCTCAGCCCCACCATAAAGGAAACAGTTAGCTAATATGGGAGATGAGAAGCTTTTACTATTTAGCTATATCCCAAAGGAAAAATAAGGTCAGGGAAAGGACATTGGGCTGTACAGTATTTGGGAAGTGAGCTCTGCACAACATAAATTGGATATACAATTCAAGTACAAGCTTGGTAAAGGAATCCTCACTGTGTATATGAAATGTTTCCCTGATGAATAGTCAATGGCTCTGGTTTGTGTTTAAATTCCTCTCTCTACACTCATGCATCTAGGAAAATAGATTGGAAAAGATTCATTTCTGTCATTACCAGATTTACTGGAACAAACACGAACACATTTACTGTGAAAAAATTCTTTCTGAAAGAGGCACTGAAGTGGTGTTGTCAGGTGGGGAAGTCATCTTTAGTCTCTGTCATGGCTTCCATAGAAAGGCTGGCTGAAAAGGTCAGGAATGCATTGAATAAGTATGATGTTTTGTTTTCCTAAAACATACCACCTGTTAAGAGTGATAAATGACACCATGTTTGAACATTGGATGTGTGCAACTGGCAATATCTTGTCACTTAGGCCTAGGTCTTCACCCACAAACAGTTGATACATTTGACCTGGAAACATCCTTGAGTTATTCCTGCCTTAATGAACCCTGAAGATTGCCGGCCTCTAAGAGGGAAAAAAAAAAGAGCACAGTGTGGCCTTGACTGTGGCCTAACTGCACCTCCTGGGCATGTCTGGCCCATGCTACCAATCTATTTTTAAAAAGGAGCAGCATGTCATCTGAAGAAACTGTTTTCAGCTTCTATTGCTGGAACGTGTTTAAAAGTCACTTTTCTCCTTACTAGCCAAAGAAAGGGGTTGAAGATTTTAAGAAAGGTATCTAAATATATCCATTAATTGATGAACTTGCTTGCTTTGTTGCTTGCAAGACAATAGATGACTTCTGATGATTGAATAAATGCTGGAGTAAATGGAGGGTTTAGCTAGAAATTGTTTTTGTGGGAAGCTGTGTTGTGGTTGTGGCATAAAACAAATTCTTTGAAAACATAGAAAACATTAATCATTGGCATCTAAAGAGGAAAAAAAATTTAGTGATGTTTATTGAAGGCATCTTTAAATGCCATGTCTTATTATAAAACACGAAAGAACACAAGCTTCAACAAACCGCAGCAAAAGGGCGATTTTTTTTTTCTTATATTACAAACTTTTGGAAGAGCTGAATTTCAGCTTTGTGAGAGCAAGTATTTCCCACTCCATATTTAACCTTCAAGTAGGATAAAGGTACTGCAAAAATATATTAAATAGGCACCACTAAAACATCATATAATTCCCTGATGAAAATTATGAGCAGAAAGAGTGGTAAATTGGAGGCAGAGAACATGCCACCTTCCTGTAGCCTTAAGCAGTACAGTCACTAAGAACAGCAGGTCTATTTTTGCTTGGCATACTTCTTCATAAAATAAAATTAAGAAAAATAAGACAAACTAAACTAAAGCAGCCTCCAGCTTTTTTGAATATCCATATAATGTCAAATTTTGCTTCTGAGCTCAGCTATACAAAGGAGTACTGCATGTATTTCAGGCCTTTAGCATGAAACAAATAATAGAAATGAATGGGATCAGCAGCTATTCCAGATTTACTCAGAATACTTGACCCAATTAAAAAAATATATTTATCTATTTATTAATCCTCTGAAATTGCATTTTGATGTTCTTTACTTCAATATAATAACTATACTCCATTAAGTAAAGAAGTCAGTGATGTTGTATAAATGCCATTTTAATATTGAAACCAGATGGAGGTACGTAGATGTTTTTATTAGATTCTGTTTACCATACATTTACAGTGAGATCACCTGCATTTCCAAGAAATAAAGGACAAATGTATGGAAAATTCAAGACAAAACTTTCTTGGCTTCCTTTTGTCCTTGCAATCCTATTCATATTTTGCAGCTTTTGAGCAGGTAGAAGGAAATTGGCTAAATTTCAACTCCAGGCAACTCTGAAAATTTCTGGAGTAACATCTCAGTGTTTTTTTTTTTTTTTTTTTTTGTTGTTGTTGTTGTTGTTGTTGTTGTTGTTGTTGTTGTTATTATATCCTTATAGCATTGTACCTAAGCAACAGTTAAAGGCAGTAGCCATTTATTTTACAAATCTGTGCTCCAGACCTCTTTTTTTTTTTTTTTTTTTTTGTCTTTTACTACATGAAAAAAAGCAGCCAAATCTATAAAAGGCCTATAACAAACTACTATTCCATGCCACTGTCTAAGATCATCTGGAGTTCTCCCATTACTAGTGTATCCCAAACATTCCTAAACAATGAAAAAGGTTACTGTCTTACTCAAATTATTATTTTATTTCTGTCAGCTGATATAAAAACAATCCCTATTGTAGAATGGACAGCTATTTTTATGTATCTGAGGTATCCCTTGTTTTAATAAAGTTGTCACAACTTGTGCTTCATCTGGTACACAGGGAGTCAGGTGTTATATTGTTTGTCTGCTGTTTTGCCTTTTAACTAGTCCTAGCTTCTACATTTTTACTGTCGGCTTGGGCACTGATCCCAGACATAAGCTAAGTATTTTTACCTACTTGTTATATCACAGTTCAAAAGCAATTTCTCAGTTGTCATACTTGTAATTAATATTATAACATTTCTGTAGTGTTCTTCTGTTCCCTGGATCCTTTGATTATGGTGAAGAGAATTTACCTTTTCATGCTCTTTGCAGAACAGGTCTGATGTGGAAGTGGTCTTTCAGCCTAGTTTAAAGGATATTTTGCTGTCAAAAAGGACTGTGCAATGGGTCTGCTTTGAGCAGTAATATGGATTAGATGACTTCCAGAGATCTCTTGGAACCTCCATAGTTCTGTGTTTATGTTTGTCTTACGGTTACATGCCTGAGTATGTAGGGTATGTGTTTCCCTACATTTTAGTAACCTGTGCTTTGGAGCTACTTCCAAAGATTGAACAATTTCCATCGTTATTGTTCCCGTACTGATTGTTTCCTGTGTCAATTATAAGAATATTAAACAATCCCAAAGCTGCACCTCTGGAGCTGCTGGGCTCTTTGCTGTATTGTCAATACACCTGGTCCAGCATGTTGGGAGGGTGCAAGCTGGAGGGGCTTGTAGCAAAAGCAGCCCAACAGAAACCCTGGGATCTTGTGCAATCACACATTTAGCACATGGGTGGATGCAACAGTGTTCTGTGTTTTCATTTATTTATCAATGTCTGTGTTTATAACAAACCAGATTACACTCCCTACCAATATACAGAATCAATATCTTGCATTGATCAGTAGCCAGGAGCAGCAGATTGAAAAAAAGAATATACAGTTAGTTGATACGCATTCATGTCAGTGCAGATGGGCACACAAAAAAGAAATAGACCTCTCTTTCTGTTTCCAAAGTGTAAGCAGATGGTTAGATTTGCAACAACAGTATATTACCTCATAACTTGCTATCACAAGAAAATACAAAATGAAGCAGCAATTCTTGTGCCTGTTTCACTTTATTCAATAAGAATATGTATTGAACTTTGTAATATCCTTCAAATATTTATCAAGAGAGAACAGAGGTAGTGATGACATAATTTATTGCTAAATTACTTTTGTTTCCTGTAGACTTAACATGTTCCATTAGAGATACCATAGAGTTCCTGCAAAATAATGTTTGATATTTTATCTTCTCAAATCATTACCTTAAATTCCATTTTCCTACACAAATAGTGAAGCACATTAAAGAAAAAAAAAGGGGGGGGGGAGTCATGACAAGTGTCTAATCAGGATTTGTGCTGTTAGTTGGTAAAATATGATGACAGAGGCTGCACTCCACTTCTAAGACATATCAGTCTTTTTAATAACATGCCAGTAGTAATCTTTCTGTGAGTTTCCAAACCAGAAAATGAAAAACACGTGAGACTATTCCACTGTGAAAGGATGGTATGTTAACTCTTCACCATTCCATTAACAAATTATGAACTACATGAGTCTCTACCAATGAAAAGAGAGAGGGCAAAGATTATGTATCCTGGCTTCTATTCTCTTAATTAAATAAATAGAAATACCAGTTCCCTAGTCCATCTTGATGATCTGTCAAACTAAATTAAAATAAAGGGTCATTTGATTATTTCAGTGCTTCAGTTAGTGAGACTTCAGTCATTCATGGCCTGCTGTCCTACTGTCTCAGAGGAAGCCTCATGTAACCAGAAGTTTTTGGTAAGAGAATTCTGGAAAAGGTGGGATGTGCAATATATACTTTCATCCCAGGGGTAAGAAGCAGTTTCTTCAAACCACTGGTCATACAGAAATTGGAACAAGGTGCTAAAACAGATATCTTCTGCAAAAGCAAAATAATCTTTATAGTCAATACATATGAATTGTATCTGGTTTTGCATATTGTATTGTAATGTGCTGCTACCAACCAAAAGCCATTTCTAAATATGGTTCCCCAAACAGACTTTTTATTTATATTTGGGCACATATATACTTTTTGGCTAATCTGTAAAACATCTGGCTTTCAGTCAAATTA